TCTCGCAACTTCTCTACTTCCTTTCTCAGCGCCTCCTCATTCTCCAACAAGATTGGGCGCCTCTTCTGCTGGATGAGGCGCAAGCCCTCTGCTATGGCGAGGCGATGCTCCGCAACTTCCACCCTCACCCCGAGCATCTCCTTCGCGCTCCATGCGAACAAGTCCGCAAATTCCTTTAAAAGATGGATTGGGGGCCCCAACTCTTCGCCCGACGTATGTGTCGAGATGCGGACCCATCGGTCTGGGTGCAGATCATCAAGCGGCAAGTCCTCAAGGCGCACATCGATATTATACATTCGGCTTCTTTTGGTGAGCCGCTCCTCCGCGGACGCCTCCCCTCTCGATATCCCAATGCCTTCTAAGGTAACAAACTTCAGTGTCTAATGGCAGGACGAGGCCACTCCTTTGAAGAGGGCCAGCAGGGGGCGCCCTAAGATCGCGTTGTACGACGAGGGGCAGTGGACTATGCCAAAGTCCACCGTGTGAGTAACGCATTGCGTCTCGTCGCCCAACGTTACAGGGAGGCGCACGTGCCCGAACACTTGAGTCGGCGCCCCCGAGAACCCAATCAGCACCGTGTTTGTAACACCCCGATATTGCGGTTCGGTTTCAACCATAAGAATAAACCATTGGATCAACAATTACGTACGAATGGGTGCAACCCTGAATTAATAATAATAATTATTATAATAATAATGATAATATTTAATTATAATTATACTAATGATAATAATATTATCATTATCATTATTATTATCACCATCATTATCATTATCATTATCATTATCATTATCATCTTCATCTGAACGTCCCCATTCTTATTAGTCCCATTATTATTGTCATCATCCCCATCATTCACACGTTACCAACAAAAAAGGAAGAAGAGAAATAAAAAAAACTAAAAACCCCAAATCCCAGCTCCCATTAACGTTACCTCATTTCCTCTCTCTCCCTCGGTCTCTCTAATTCCCTTCCGTTAGCATTGCTCTTCCCTTTCATTTTTATTCTCCACGTATCTGAGAGCAGCAGCGCCAATCCACTTCTCGTCACCACCATCTACCTCCTCATTTCCTCGACCGAAATCAGTGTCAAGTGCCAGCCTTTTTCCCCCGGACCAAAGCCTTACCTCCCTACTCATCGAAAGTCAACCACCGCAGTGGAACCAACAACCACCGGACGAGCGACTCAACAAGCAGTAGGCCATTTTCCCTCGCGCAAGGACCTGACTAAACACCCATCCTCGCACGATAGGCGTTCAGACGGCGGCGCCGGCGTAGCGAACTTCAAACATTCTTCGAGTGGTGGACATCGTCACGTAAAGGGAGATCTCAGCAGCATCTCGGTTTCGACGGAGTTGAATTTCAACATCGGACGAGGAAGATACGGGCCTCGAAAGCTTGGGACGTGTGAATCGTATAGTTCAGGTACAAATCTATCTATTCGATAAGAATAGGGACTATGGCGGTAATTTTGTATCCTAGAAGATGTCCAGTTTAGTCCCTCATATTTTTAGTCCGAGCAGCTTAAACCCTAGTATTTTGAAAGTTAACAATGGGCCGAAAATAGTATTTTCTCAAGATTATTATTATTCGTCCACATAATGTACGAACTTTTATGAGTTGTTAATTTTATAAACTAGGGGATATTTGTGAGATGTATGAATATAAATTGAGAATTTTCGAAGCTTTATTTATAAGTGTTAAAATAGGTAAAAAAATGAAGTTTTAAGCAAATAGAATATTATTCAAGCGAGTTTGTTTGATTTAATATTTTAATAGAATTCAAATACCTATGACTTTATCCATAATTCATTTGGGTGCTTTTAGAGTCGATTTTATAATTATGAAAATTGGTAAGATGTCAATTTTAATTGATTAAATTACGGTTTGCATATCTTTAATTAATTTATTAATTTTGTGAAAAACTAGAATGCTGGTAGCTAGTTTTAAAATTAGGAACCGTAATTTTGGATGTTGGTAATGTAGATATTCAATTTATTTATATTAGAAGTTAATTGGAATAAGGGGTTAATTACGGTGTAAATTATAGTTAATAATTTTGTTTATGTTTTAAATTATCCAAAATCAGAATTTGGAAGTTTTAAGATGGAAAGGGTTTTTTTTAGAAATTTATGAGATTTATTTAATGGAATTTATGTTATTAGTAATGGGTTACGTCTTGTGAATTTGGGGAAAGATTTCCAGTGTTTGAGAAAAATTGTTTCAAAGAGTTTAAGGGTCTTTTTAATGAATTTAGGGACTAAGCTAGGAGGACGGAAAAATGCTACTTTGAAAGAGCTAAGTTGGAGGATTACCAACTAAGGGTTAGTATATTTTCGGATTATAGGTTCTCGAGGTACTGTTGACTGGGGTTAATTGACTAAGAGGTTGATAATCATCTGTTTTTGAGGTGAGTGTAAAGGGCGGTAAATTCTACGCCTTACATGTTCAAGTATTTGCTTTACGTGAAGTGTGTGTGCACTGTTTGATGATTTATGATTGTGTTGATTATGCATGCTTCGGTTTGAGTTATTGTTTAGAGCATTTCAATATCTACGTTTAAGAATTTAAGTTCATGTTTTTACGACGGTTAAGAACGAGTATATTTAATGCTTCATCGTTTACTAAGTAATGATGTTAAGAGTAAGACAAAGTCACGAGTAAAGAAAAATAACCTCGCTTAGCTAGCCACTAGCTAGATAGATCCCTACCGGACGGTGATAAGTTCCGCGGTAGTTGATCACTACCGGATGGTGATACGTTCCGCGGTAGTTGGTCAGGCTTGGAGCCGGACAGTGATGAGTTCCGCGGATTCCATTGCTTAGATTTAGGTGTGCTATCGGATGGTGATACGTTCCGCGGTAGTCACGCCGTAGTTTGACACCGGATGGTGATTCGTTCCGCGGTGGTCAAACCCATTTGAGGGGCACCCCATTGTGAGGGTAGTCATGTTTAAGAAAGTAAGTAAGGCTAGCAGTGGTGCCAGCTAAGACGAGGTAGGGGCCCCAAAGTAAGCTAATGGACGAAATAATACATTTTACAAGAGTTAAAGTGTGAAAGGCGAAAGTAGAAATCATTTTCACAAATTTGTTGTGAGCTTCTGGAGAATAACCTTAGGCGTTTCAAGTTTAAGTAGGGCGTAGACTGACCCCAATTCACTCACCAGATCATAGAGGAGGAGATCCTAACCAGCCAGTCCGTGATCAGCAAGCTAGAGGAGCTCAACACCATCGTCGCTAAGAGATGTCGAGCCAGGCGTCCGATTAAGTACCCATGAACTTTTTAAGTTATTAAGACTGTATGGTTAAGAGTTAAAGACTGGAGATTCATTTCTTTTGGACGATTTAAGTTTTGCCCACACGTTTAGGGCTTCGCTTTGAGATATTAAGATATTTGAGTTTGCTATTTTATTTAAATTTGTGCTGTTTGAGATTTTTAGTTATACCCTGGAGTAGAAATGTTTTTTTTTAAGTCTCAAAGTAGTGGGATGTTTCAGTGTCCGCCGGCTTCACCATGCTAGGCGCCAGCTGCATTTTTTCAAACGTGGACATAAACAGCACATCCATCGAACTTCCCGTATCAACCAGCATCATCTTGACTTCGCATCCAGCTACCACGCCCCCGAATTTCCAGCGCCTCTGTGGAGGGCGTCCGACACGCCTCCTTGGGCACATCATTGAAGTGTATTTGTATGGCTTCCCTCGCGCTCGCAGTGGCCGACTTCAGTCGCCTCCCCTCCTCTAGATTCTGCCTCAAGTCTATGGAGCCGGTGATGGCTTCAATAGTCAGTCTTACGCGGTTTGGCCTGGCCTCTTGTTCTACGTCGAACGGGAGCGGCGGCAAGCTGGCTTCTTCCTTAGGGCGGGCGTCCTCCCGTCCCTGATCTGCGACGGGCGCCTTCATCTGTGCTTCTCGTGTTACGAACGTTCGTTGTGCCCTCTCGTCCCCTTTCTTTACGAACTCGCTCAGCATACCTCTATCCACCAACCCCTGGATCTAGGAATTCAGCTGATAGCAATCCGCGGTGTGTCGTCCCCGCTCCCGATGGAACTCGCAATACCTAATGAGGTTTTGCTTGTTTGGGCGCCCCTTTATGGGACCCGGCCATCTCAGGTGGTACCCCTTGTCCTTCGCATATTGTAGCACGTTCTTTAGCGTGTCATTGATCTCCGTGAAGTTTCCCGCGCTCTTTGGTACGGGCCTCAGGTTCTCCACCCTGCGCGCCTGAAACACGTTGGTGGTTGCGGCCGGCACGTGGGGCGCAGGCGCACGGTAACCCTCTCCTTCCACAGCTTTGCCCTTGCATCTGTCGAATCGACGGGCTGCAAGTATTTCCTCTAGCATAATGACCTTCTGCACCCTCTTGTCGAGGTCCTCGGTGGACGTCACATCCCTCTTGGAAAGCGCCCGACACAGCTCTTCACTGGTCGTGTACTCATCCAGGCAGCATCCCAAGACGGGGGGCTTAACATCCTTCACCGCCATGGCCACCGACATCCATCGCTCGTAAAACTCCCTAAGTGACTCTTTCTCTCTCTGGCGGACCTTGAATAGGGCGCTTATAGTGAGGGTCTGGCGCTTTCAGCTTGCAAATTTTGACAGGAACAGGGAGGCGAAGTGCTCGAAGAAATCGATCCGCCCTTCCTCTAGCTGGTGGTACCAATCCAACACCACCCCCGTGAACGTGGAGGGGAACGCACGACACATCATGGCGTCCGTGCTGCTGTACAACTGCATTTTCGTAAAGTATTTGTTCGGGTGGTCTTCCGGGTCCATCGTGCCATCATAGCTGGCCAGGGAGGGTATCACCGAGCTTGGCTACTCAGCGAGGATGCTCCGGGCCAAAGGCTGCCGAACTCCCGAACCTCTCCCGGCACGCCTCTGCGCCCAACCATTGTATTCATCATAGTCTGATTCTAGGTGTCGAGTCAAGTTCCCCATTTCTTCTGTGCGCCTCGCGAGGCTGGACGCCCCTTCCCCATCTTCATCTTGCTCCCTTCTCTACAATCCAGGCGTGAGCGGGTCACCTCCGCCCCTCTTGAGCGCTTCGGCCTCTTTCTTTAGGACCTCAAGGGTGTGATCTTGACTCTCGATGATTTGAAGCAACTCCTCCTTTGTGAGCGGGGCGCCCTCCTTCTGTGCGCTCTCCTCAACCCTTGGACTACCCCTTCCGTCACGCTCTTCCACCTCTTTTGTCCCTTCCGTCCCGTGCTCATGCGGTTCAACGCTCCCTTCTTTCTCGCATGACCCAAGAACCTCCATGCGTCTTGTTGGTTATACTCCCCTTCCTGGCGCACCAATTGTTTATGCCCAGAAGTCTTCTTCCTTCTGCTCCACGCTCCGATATCAAACACGCCTCCTACCACGTGCCTGCCTGCACACACAAGCGCCTAGCGGACTGGGCAGGTCCGTTAGCACTCCGATGCCTAAATGAGAACCCTTCTTTCTAGAGAGAGAAGTAGCGAACAGTTCTAGTAAGAGAAGCAAAAACTGAGTAAATGAGGTTTACCTACTTCACGATTTATACCCGGGGCGAGATGGACCGATACACGTCGCTCTCGCCCTGTGTCAGGTCCGCCATAAATGCGCCGTACAACCCTTGCGCATCCGCCTCGACCACCTGACACCTTAGTCAGGGGTTTGGGGCGCATGACAGGTGGATGTCTTTTGTCCTATGCGCCTCTTGCCAGGTGTCTGGTCTCACCTGTCTCACGCGCCACCCTGGCCATGTGGGCCTTTCACCACGCGCCTTTCGGTCCAAGGCTCTTGCCCCCATGGGCTTTATTGAATTTCTCCGATTGGGCCCTGGACGGCCCATGTCTGTGACCCTTCCATAATCTTCTTTGAGCCTTCCCTTTTGGGTTGACCTTCGACCCATACTCATTCCCGCAACTTTTTTCGCAATGTTACAATTAATACGGATGGAATCTTCTTTTGTTTTCTAATAATTTCATATTATTAATCAATGAATAACTTTAGATTTTAAGCTTATCCAGTATTGTACGTTAGTTTTGATCCAGTGAGTTAATAAAGGCCATTGAGAACAAAAACAAAGTATTGACAGCTCCAGCCTCTGCATCCTCAAGAATCCGACTAAGTAAAAGAACAATAACAAATTGGTGGGTATCTCATTCTATTCATCCGCTTCTATAGCCTATTTAATTTTATGTTTCTCTTCATGCAAATCGATCTTCTCTTGGTCGATCAATTGTACAATCCAATTTTGGATTTGGTTGACAATGGCAGAAGACATATTACCAAGAGATGCACGCGGTACCTTACTCATACCTTAATTGTTAGATTGAGTTTGTTCATAATGCATGCATCAAACTATTTCTGTACGTATTATGCTACCGAAACCCATTTTTAAAAAAATAAAGGGTAAATACAATTTAATATCCAAACCTTTCATTTTAAACAATATAATAACCAAACCTTTTCGAAAACAATATAATATACAAATCGTCAACTTCCCGTCCGTTTGACCGCTTGTTGACACTTCAAAAAAGCTTTGTTTAGGGGAAATTGTCACAATACAACTTTGTTTTCTTGTTTTGGCATTGCAATGACTGAATATTTAAATATTCTATACCATCATGGTGGAATCATGGACTTCTCGGGTTGGAACCACAATATGTTGGTGGTTTTTCAGAGAAGATATCGATGGATATTGATGAAGCGTCGTATTTCGAACTTTTTTGAAGTGTCAACTAACGGTCAAACGAACGGAAAGTTGACGATTTGGATATTAGATTGTTTTCGAAAAGGTTTGGCTATTATATTGTTTAAAATGAAAAGTTTGGATATTAAATTGTATTTACCCAAAAATAAACACCATACGGTGATTATGTTTTTCATAGTATTGGGTGATCAAGAAGTTTAATTTCAATTTACAATGTGTTGGGGAGAAGTGCCTATTGAAATTGAATGAGTTTGATGAGATTATATTGAATGCCGCCAATGAAAATGTCCGGATTTATAAGGAGAAGACCAAGAAATGACATGAACATCACATTCCGAGAAGGAAATTCAAGGTGGGAGAGAAGATACTACTTTTCAACTCACGCCTTAAGACTTTTTCCTGGAAAATTGAAGTCGAGTGTTCGAGCTCGATCGAGTTTTGGTAACCGGCGGATAGTGTCATTATAATTCATACAATTTTCAGGTCAGGAAAACTAATTTTAATTTCAACCTTTCATATGGTAACAGGTCTTTGGCATAAGCCATTCGAAGCAAGGAGTTATGTGGGAGGTGATTTTGTTTACGTTTTTCCCCCAAGTGTCACATTCACATAATCCTTATTGGCTTTTCTTGTGTAGATTTTTTTTAAAAAAAAAATTGATTCATCAGGGAAAGTGGGGCAGTGAAGGCCATGAGTAAATCTAATACTGATGCGAACTATTGATAGGGTGATTGTTTAATCGAACAGAACGTTGGTCATGAATTCACGAGAGATGTGGTCATGAATATAGTGAGCTAGACATTGGTTTTGGGGTTGGATTGAGACAGTTGAGTTCCATCAAGATTGATGGCGGGTACGCTGTCGCTGGCCGACAAACATGGGAATATAATGGACGACTCAGTCTCAGACTCACGACAAGTAGAGGAAACAGATCTCAGATCCGGGGTTTCAGTGTGGCCTTTGTTATAAACGCTACATTTTAGGCCCATAATTTTTGGGCTTAGTTTGACGCTTAATTGGGGCATAATAAGTTCAATGGGCTTCACGTGACAAAAGAGACAGCATTAAGTTTTAAGAAGTGAAATGTAAATAATCAGGCCCTTCAGTGACTCATATGTGGAGTAAAAACGCAAAGCATCATTTATCGTTTTAAAATGCCAAAAAAGTCCATCCAAAAATTACTCACCGGCCATCATTTTTAAAAGGCTGAAAATTTAGCCTACGAATCTCCATGATCATTTTTAATAATGACAACCATCTTAACTAATCAGACTACTTAGATTAGTTGTATCATTTTAAGTAAAAAAATATATATGAAGCTAAAATTAAAAAATCACATAACTTTTCAACAGTTAACTAAGATCACTAAATCTTCCCTCGATACTAATTGATGTTTGCTACTTCAATTTTTCTATTTAATTATATTTTGATACTTAATTTACATTTCTATTTATCTTATAAACAGAGGATAACTTTAAAATCATATAACAAATATCATTGGTTCAATATTACATATCGAATTTGTATAAGCGATGGTGAACTCTTACATTAGTATTAGTTTATAAAACTACTATGAGGCAATCATATTCATATATTTCTACAAATTATATGGGGATGGGTTCTTTGAACTTTTTCGCTCGGCTAACCGTTAAGTTTTAAACATCTTCCTAATCCGACAGACATGATTGGATCCCAATCATTAGACGAGGTTGAGTTTAACAGGTTGGTTTATTTCATTTTTTTATTTATTAAAATGAGTTTGTAGAGCAAGATGTAACATCCCGACCTTTTCCTGACGAAGATACTGTCCGCTTTGGGCCTCTACACCCGCACGGATTTCGACTTGGGGTGCAATTCAGGGTGACTTCTCATAAGGTCACCCATCCTTGTTGTACTCCACACCGAGCACGTTTAACTTCGGAGTTCTCACAAGAACTCCTCCATTACACCCCAAAACGCGTCTTGTTAGTTAAGGTCGGGTTCTTACTTATGAACCATGGATCTCTCCCGTGCTTTGTCGATGTGGGATTTGCCTAAGGTGTTACATACACCCCCCCTCGGGACTCAACGCCCTCGTTGAGGTTTGCCCCACCATCGTTCAAGAGGGACGCAGAGAGGCTCTGATACCACTTGTAACATCCCGACCTTTTCCCGACGAGGATACTGTCCGCTTTGGGCCTCTCCACCCGCACGGATTTTGACTTGGGGTGCAATTCAGGGTGACTTCCCATAAGGTCACCCATCCTTGTTGTACTCCACACTGAGCACGTTTAACTTCGGAGTTCTCACAAGAACTCCTCCATTACACCCCAAAACGCGTCTTGTTAGTTAAGGTCGGTTTCTTACTAATGAACCATGGATCTCTCTCGTGCTTTGTCGATGTGGGATTTGCCTAAGGTGTTACACAAGACATGTCTACATATACACTTTACACAATATATACTACTGCCATGATAAAATTGTCGTCCCATTTCAAATTTTCTACAATGAGAGCAAAAAAATGAATGAAATTTTTGTCTTTGCCATTATTTTTCTTTATTTTGTATAGAAAATAGACAAGTATTGTGATTTCAACTAATGTATCTTCAAAGGCAGATAAGAGTCATAACCATGATAGTCAATTTGAGTTTGACTCCGCTGATCGAACCAATTTTACCTAAACTTGAGTATCTTAGCGAGTGCCGAAGGCCCAGTTGGTTGTCTACTCGGGCTCAGTCAAACCCATGAACACCCAATAAAGTCGGAAAATTCGACCGATTGAACCAACTTAGTTGAGCATCGGGTCACTTCAAAACGATGTTGTTTTCAACAATTTGTATACATAAGTGCATTGTCATATCATCCTTTTACTTATCACAAAACACTACAACATGGAACATCACAGACCATGTTTGACTATCTCATCGTCTCTTCTTCTTGCTTTAGATTCGAGAGCCTATAAAGACCCAACCATCTTAAAAGTCATCATAATCCGGCAATAGTAAATTTCATTTTTCTGCAGCTGCACAGTCATAGAGTCAGTCGACCTCATCTCATACAAATAAGGAAAAAAATTATTAGAGGAACATGCATTTGAGTTGAAACTTTACGTGACAAACAGAGGCCAAATTCCTCATTTTTATTATTGTTTAATACTTAATTAAATTCAAGTATATCTTATAAATAGAGGATAACTTTAAAATCGTGGCTAAAATATCATTGGTTTGAATATTCCATATCGAATTGAAGCATTGAATATGTAGAAGTGATGTATAATTCTTAAATTAGTATTAAGTTTTAGACCTACTATGAAACAATTGTATTCATATATTTGTATTAACTATATGGGAGTGGTTCTTTGAACATTTTAGTTCAGCTAACCGTCAAATTTTAAATCTCTTCCTATTCTAACATGATTGGATCCAACAATCATTATGAGTTTAATAAGTTGGCGCATTTCACCTTTTTGAAATGTGCTAATGAATTTGTAGTGAAAGTAATAAGTTGGCGCTTATTCGTGGGAGAAAGGAATACTTGCGGTGGTGTCAGAGATCTGGAGAGCAAAGATGAAAAGGATACATGCGACACGAGATCTAAAAAGTTGTTTAAAATTTAGATGAGCGGTAAAAAATCTTCCTACTTCCGAAGATTCACCACGAGTTCTTGAATGGGGACTGACAAATTGATCATCAAATCACGGGCTTTGACTAAATAAAAGCATAGAGATTAGTTTGATGGTCGGTGATATAGAATTTGCTAATTTGGTACATCTACAGGAGATCTCGTCCGTAGACTTAGGAAACAAAGAATCGGAAGGGAATTCGGAGATATTGACATTTTATTAACAACTAATTGAATGCATGGGGCGGATAAATGATGCATTCATTTCTCTTTTCCTTTTAAATAAAATACAACTAAAAACTTCATTAAAAACTAAAAACAGTATCATAAACTTTGGTGGGTTTCTATTCAACTTTTGAAGTATGTTCATTTTTCGGGCTAATTAGATTATTTAAAGCTATCATTCTACTAAAATAATTTTATTTTTCTTTTTTCGCTGCATTGTTGTAATATTTTGACCAAAACATGTTAGTAAGTTAAATGATATACTATTTAATATAATATAATATTTACACTCTTTCGGCACACTCAAATTATAATTCTAGAATAATATACGCTCTTACGCTCCCATTCTAGCTCCCGCTTTGCGAATTGGTAAGCTAAATCCGTTGAGTTAATCCTATTGACAAAGAGACTACTTGTAGAACTCGCCTTCCATCACATATTGCCTTCCCTCGCAAACACCCTCACACTCAATTCCCACTTGGCCGTTCCGCATTAATTCCACATCTGACACACACACCATCACCATAGGAGTGCGATAATCATCAAATGATGAATACATGTTGTTGGGGTGCTTTTTTGGAGCTCGAAGGAGAATAGCGGAAAGTAGTAGGTAGAGAAACAAATATAGATAGTCTGGGCGAGGAAGAATATTATCCATATGTAGATGAGATTTTATATTGACTCGTCTCCAATACCACAATAATTTCCCTCCTAAGGTCCAAGTATAAACCTTAGTCGGGTGCAGTACTGGATAAGTATGTTTAAATATCAAGCCGGGTCGGTCCGTCTACCCCTACTTCAGTCATTTGAATCATTATCTAGCAATAAAGTTTTGGTTGAAAACTTTGCTAATTAAAGTAAAACAAGACAAAGGTGAATGGTTTTGAATGCTCTTTTGTGGAAGGATCACTCGGGCGTCGCTTCCTCCTAACTACTACCCTGGTATGTGAACCGAAATGATTGCTATGGGCAAGGTGATCGCTAACCACTAGGGGACGCAAATATGGTAGTAGACCACGCTCATGATTGCTAAACCGAGGCATGCATTATAGGCTGTCACTAGGCCCTCTCGGTTTAGGCAATCAATGGTTAACTTACTCCCTCACTCAACCCAAGGGTTGGACGACTTAATCGTGCTTAACCAAATTGCTTAATACAAAATTGAGGTTTGCCCTAAATTGACCTAGTTAGAAGACTTAAAAATTCCTAGGGATACCAACTCAATTGAGACTCCCTGGGAAGGGGGTTTTGCCTCTCTAGACTAGGTTAAGTGGATAATTAGATTGCTAAGCATAGACATGCACAATCCTTAGGTTGCTAAGCACCAATCAAGCACAAATCTAAGGATGCTAAGCACACACATGCACAATCAAGATGAATAATACCTCAAACATTTGAATTAAACAATACCCAATGACAATCATTCAATTCACATAAAATAAAACTACATGGTAGAGTAAGGGTTTCACAACACCCAAGTGAAAAGAATTCTACTCCATGCTAGAAATGGGAAACACAAGGAGAAGGGGTAGAAATCATCTTGGAGGAGGCTTCCAATCTTCTTGGCCCTTGTGTTGAACTTTCCTTGGCGAAAATCTTCCCAAAATCCACCTTGGAGAAAAACCTTAGCCTCCTTCTTCTTTGGTTTGTGTTTCTCTCTCAAGAAATCAGAAGAAGACTTTCTCACTCAAATGGGATCTCCCTTCTCTCTTCCTTTCAAATCAGCTTTTAAACAGGGAATGAGCTGTGTTCACGGCTCCAGTTAACGGTCATGAACACTGAAACGCGTCCGTGAACTCCAATTGGGCGCCAAAACACATCGCTTCGCTTGCTTGTGTTCACGGTCCACAACTCCTGTTCACAATCTTAACGATCGTGAACACAATTGGCGTCAATAACTTGCATCTTGGCTCTGGACGCTTCAAAGTTCACGTCCAATGGCTCTTCTTCACGGTCATACAAGACCGTGAACAACCAAGGCAAACCGTGAACTCGCCGTTTTTCACCTCTTCTCCCGGTTTTCGATCCTCTTCGTCCAACTTTCGACTCTGAGGCTGGTTTCACCTATTAAATCCTGAAACACACTAAAACACGAGAAACCTAACGTAAAACCAACCTATTAGGAGCGAAGTTGCCACAAACGACTTAGAAATCTGGTGCAAAACATGTAAAATTAGGCCCGAATCACTCCCCCACACTTAGACGTTTGCTTGTCCCCAAGCAAACCATTTCACACCAGGTAATATTTCAACCTACACAAATACTTTGGGGACAACTCAAAGGGCACAAAGTGGGAATTCTCAATGGCTATTGGCAATCAATACATGGACCATTGCAAGCAATACCGACATCCACCACAAACGGCATTCGAAGCCACCGAAAACGGGCAAACGAAAAGTTCTCACCTTGTTCATGGATCAATGTAAGTTTCAACAAGACCACTTATCAACCACAACCAACCATGCATGGAATTCAAGGCCGAGGAACAAATGGAAAGGCAACAAAGGTCCTCAGCGGGGTATGATATGAAATGCTAAGCAAGAATGAATCACTCACTCTCAAGACCAGTGGGGTCGGGACCTTTTGGTGCAAAAGATGTGCACAATAATAAACACTCGGCCCTATCGTCTCAATACCACTGCGGTAACCTCTAAATGCTAGAGTTCATGGGATGGTTGTCACCACTAGCTTGTCCGGAGGTCTTAGACACGGGTTCAAATGACTGGCAATTGTTTTGAACATGGGGAAAAGGCTTTTGGGTGGTGGCAATTGTCCCAACCGTCCCTCCGGGGGTTCGGGGTCGTGTTCTCTTTTTGGGAGTAGCCATCGATCTTACTCGGAGTGGATTGAACACTTATCGGTCGGTTCTAACCTTGGGGTCAGATGCAGGGCTTAGTCTGCGATTAAGAGATTTGAGTTCGGGAGTACGGTTGAGTGTGGGGAAGTGAAATCACACCCCACAACGCCCTAAATCGGTACTACTTAAGTCGATAAGTTTTTATACGAGTTGAATGTATTTTAATAATAATTTTGTAATTTTATGGAGCCACTGAACCATTAAATAATTTTATCCTATTAGTTTAAGATTTAATTATATGCCTAGTGACGTAAAATTTAAAGATAAAGTTAGTTGATTAGTTGGACTCGAACCTTATCGGTTGCCTACGTACCCGTTAGACGGTATTAAAGTCGACGTAGTTCGTTTTGACTTTGATAATATTAAATGTAATTTTTACCACGTTTCCCAATCGTGGTTCTTGTATTAAAGTTTTTGTTAATGAGATTTAAGTTAATTTATTATGAAGTTATGAAAAAAGAACATGAGGACTTTACCTACTAAGAAGCAATTTGATGTGTTAGAAAAGAAACAAGATAGACTTAATCTGCATTCAACATTTTGTATTAAGGATATTAAACAATAAAACTAGACGGGATGAATGAATTTATGCATGATGTGGCAGCAGCCCAACTGGCTAAGTTGCCAGTCTTAGAGCGTGTCCGACCCCGATAACGAGGGTTCGAAACACGTTAACTTCAAATTTTTATCGTCATTTTTTGTTTCAGATAAAGGGGAGGGAAATTTTGTAATTTCTCAAAAACGCGATGGAATGGTCGCGTAATTATAACGGAATCCTAAGGGCAAAACGGTCATTTTTCGTGTAATTATAACGAAACCCTAAGGGCAAAACGATCATTTGCGGGTAGGTATAAAAGCATCTCTTAGGACAAAAGTAAAACCCTAATCCTAATCTGACCTAAATCAACAGCCTCTCATCCTTCTCTCTTTCTCATTTTTTTCTACCATTCTTCCTCTCGTTCTCTATCTTCTCGCTGCCTCATCTGAGACGAGCAAAAAGAAGAGGAAACCCTAAACACCACAAAACTCTTCTTCTCTCCTTCTCTCGATCTGCTCTCTTCCTCTCGGATCCGTCCACCTCTTTCTCTCCTTGAGTCTGGAAGCAACGAAATAATAGAAACAAGAGGAGGTGGCGCTGACGGCGACGGTTGAGGCAAACAACGCCATGACAAGGCAAGAGGGCGTCGATTCGGGTAAGAACATCGGTACATGCATGATTATTTCTAGGTTTAATTTTGTTCTTATTTATTGTTATGATTCTGATTTGGGCTTCATTTTTTTTGGTTTTTCGTTATTGGTGGGGTGGAAAAGCAAACGACAGAAGATGGAGAACGCCTCCCCGTTCGATTCAGGCAAAAGAACGATTGTAGCCTCCCTAAATCGATCGGAAAGCGACAATCAAGGTAAGATCCTCGACATGCATGCTCTTTCTAATTCGTTTTAGGTGATTTTATTTGGGATTCGGCTAATATTTTTTTGTTTTCTTGTGGCTCTTGAGGATTGGTTTTAGACGACGGGAAAAGAAGCAAGAAAGAGACTGCTGCCGCCGAAGCGAGTGCCACCGCCACCGGGAAGAGTAGATGCCGAAGCAGAGGCGGACTCCCTCTTGATGTTTTTTTTTTGAACACTTACTTACATTGAGTTCTAATTCTATTTCTTCCTCTTGCAGATTCGAATGCCTGGAGGTTTTCAGAACCTAAACCTAAACGGAAGGTCCATAAAAGCATGAAAGGAAGGGAGATTCAAATGGTCTTACTCCAAACTTCTTACATTCATAGAACCTCCACCCTGGATTTGCATCGGTCCAACTAGTCCTCAAATATTTTGTGTACGCACAGTTACAACATGGAGTAGCCATGGCTTAGATCGACAACCTCCAAAGATAACAAGTTGTTGCAGAGGACGAGGAAGAAGATGGAGAAGGAAGAATAAGGAAAATGGAAGAATAAGGAAGATGGAGAAGATGAATAAGGATGAAGAAGAAAAGCACAAGGAGTTGTATGGAATTTTGATCGAGGATAAGAAGAAGATGGACGAGAAAGAACGAAATGAGGTGAGAAGGTTTTTAATGGTGGGTAAGAGTTTTCTCTCTCTCAAAAAGGTAAAAAATAATGCCAAAATGGGGGAAAGGGTTATTTTCCCTCTAATTCCACGTCAACACCTAAGTGGTGTCCTTTTCAGCCTCTCTATCAGCCCAGTCAGCACTTCCATTTGCCACATCATCAAAAATCTGACGACATTAATAGAGTTTAACGGAGACTGACGGAGGGTGACTAACGGTGAAACGAATCTTAAAGTTAGTAGATAATATGAAATAAAAGTAATTTGGGTGGCAAACGTGAAAGATTTATGTAATTCGAGGGATCAAACATGTAATTTAGCCCACTAAAAAGCATAGTCTTCATTATTAAAAGAGGAAGTTTGCTATTATTAAACCGATTTCTACCCTGGACTAAAAAGGTTTCTTTACCCCGACCCCAGCCCCTAAGGCGCCACGTCACCATTTTTAAACCAAATAACTTGTAATAGCTGGTCACTTAAGGTGCGACACCCGTAGAGTGTCGGCAACATAAAACTAATTAAAAAACTAGTTGTAGGCCGGGTTAAATATTTTTGTTGGGTTTCCAAAAAAAAATTACAACTATTTCCCTTTATGATTGATAATTTGATAGTCTTAAAAAAATATTTTGTAAATTAATCCAAAATTTCAATCACTAACCTAGTAGGTTTATTTTTTGAATGGAACGCAAGCAAAAAATGCAAGCTCAGTGAACAAAGAGATTAAGTTAAATACTTAAATATATGTGTTCCAATGGAGATATGGTTGAAGTTTTGATGGATTGAGATAACTTAAGCAAGCCAAAAGTGCAAGTGCAAGTGATTGATAGTTGTCTTTCGCTTTGCCTTCAAGGCTTTAATACACTAATTAACATGCAGCGTAATCATGATATAATACACATACATACATATATATATATACTGACTAATTTTAAACATTGTATCCCCACCGTCCCACGCTATACACCAGGCCAAGATTGGCCGATCACCATAACTCTAAGTAGAGCTACGCCTCTTCATCCCAACCACTGATCCCTTTAGTTCAGAACCAACTCCACTGCTGCAATGTTTACTCTGCCATTGCCTCAAGCAACCCATTTCTCCTATGGCATTCTCAACCTTTGATGCATTACCAACCATGAGCAAAAGACATGCTTTCCTTGACCAATCAAAATTGGCAATATGATTGTTGATAAGGCAATCCAGAAAGACACATCAACATAATTCACTCAACATTGTAGGTTCAAAGAAGCTATCTACAAATGTAGCAGCCTGGGAAAAACAAATAGAACTTAGCAATACAAAAGGGATATTCAAAAGCTTCCATCTCACATATATCCAAATCTCTGGAATTGGAGAAACAAAGGCCATATACGACATGAGCCACCACTACAGCTACTGCAAATTAGCATCAATGTAAAAGTAGAATGTTGCAGAATTTGTGTAGTCAACATGAAGCAACTGCAAAGAGAAACAACAAATAAGGACTGAATGTCAGTTGTAGATGCCATTTCAATCAAAATTGTGATTTGAAACATCAATTGTCGTTATATTGTTGGATAATTGTATTAGCTTTGAAGAACAATGTTAAAATAAACAGAATTTTCAGCGTCAGCTTAATTCATAATAAAAAGTAAGACTTACAATTCAGAATCAGACCTACGGACTATTTCCGTCTGGCCAATTGGATGGAGAGGACTAACAACTCGATTGAGAGCAGGGATCGTAACAACCACATAGGCCAACCGATGAGATTAAAGAGGCAAGATGGCTTTGTTGGCATTGAGTCTGTTTGATGCTTTGCATGCTGCTTTCTCATCTTCCTCAAATCCATCGACTCCAATCACATCTTCTCGTCTCCATAAACCTGCCAACCAAGTTGTCTCTTTTCATCCTCGTAAATATGTCGACTCCCATACGATTCCCCTGTAAACTCTCAAGTATCCACCGCAAATTTTCTCAACTAATTTGCTGATCCTTGGCACGAATCTCACTCTGGAGAAACAAAGGCATGTGTTGCCGGTGGCATGTTAATCGTCGGGTATTTAGATTTGGTTGACTAATAATTAAAGAGCAAGGCTGAAATCGACAGAATAGACTAACAAATCAACGCGCATAAGCATACAGGGTATCGCTGGCGGATGATTCATTGCTTCGAAAGTGGTAGTTGAAGTTTGGATGTTAGATAAATTTTTTTGTAGATTAGGGAAGAATGAAACGTTGTTGCGAATGGGGAGAGAAGAAAGCGGAATCTATTTTTCATTTTTTACAGAGGATGGAGAGAGAGTAGGAGTCGTTTTTGGTTGACATGGATAGGTTAAAAACTACTTATCACTAAAACCTGGGGAGAAGCCATCGAGGCTTACGTGGAGGGGGTCGGTTTTACAAACCCCTTTAATATTATGTAAGATTAACAGATATTGAAATCATGAGACCATTGTAATATCTTTTCATTATTTCCATAGAATAATAGTTGGCTAATAAAGAAACAAAGAAAGAAGAAGAGTGAAGACAACTGCAAACAGTCGGTTGATTATGGACGACACATGTACAGTCTCGAGACATCCAAGGGAAGAACTCTATCTAGCTGGGTACCCCTACAAGCAATATATGGGAGAGGAAGAAGTGAAATACTCTCAAATTGGGGTTCAAACACGTAACAAAAATGTCAGTGTAAGGGTGTAGATCATTCACACCAATGATTTCACGATAAGCATTTGGAGGGTGGAAACCAAACCTCTCAAAATCTGCTTCATCACAAAACTAGAGACCACTGGCTATTTCAATGTTTAGAAGAGGTCCAGTTGCTTCTTGGGGGATGCAGAGTTCAAAACCATCAACTACTGTGTCCACTGTTCTGTTGGAAAAATCTAAATTAATCCTTATGTTTGCGTAGAAGAACTGTGCTGCAAGAACACAGACATACAACTCATTGGTGAAACAAAACTGCCAGCTGAGGTTCGAAATGAGGCGATCAACTTCGACGAGGTAGTCTGTAAAAGCCTTAGGATCACAATGGCTCAGGGGACAAACAGATTGGTGTTCAAACCGTGACTCATACTATGAAAATCTCTCATATTTTCTCTGTAATGAAACACAGTACAGATGTGTGTCATGGTGAAGCAAGATAGAATTGAAAGGGTTGAGAGATAGAGAAGGGAATTTGGAGGGGCGACAGATCGACTCAATGCTATTTTAAGTATTGAGAAGGGAATTTAGATAAATATTGGGAAGTTAAAAGGTCAGCCACAACCAAAGAAAGGACACGAGCATTTAATGGTTAGTCAAAACACCAAGTCCCTACGCATATATCGATCTCTTCATAATTCCATTTACATTCAATAGACAAAACGATGTGCATGGTCAGTGGGGAAGCTAGACCAATCTAAGTCTCTTCGTAATCCCATTCTTTTGCTCAACGCGTAGCAACTTAATGTAGTTTATAGTAGGACTCGAGGACTTTGTGTGCCATGAATGCATTCAAGATGAAACCTAGCCTGGTCCACGAACCCATGCATGCATATCTCCTAATATATGTACTTAGAGATGGAGAGGTTAATTTATAATATCATGGGGGCATGTCGTTTTGTTGAAGTGATTGTTTCATCATGGGGGCATTTCGTCTCGTGAAGTGAATGTTTATAGAATATAAGAATAAAAGTTGTCGACGTGATATCCATTAGTTATTTTTAGAAGATTGATATGGACAGGGGCGGTGCCAGGGGGATTTGGGGGTGTCGCGGGACACTCCTAATTTTGGGATAACGATTATCCAACCCCCGTTAGTAGTTTTCGTGTGGATAAAAATATAAGTGGTAGACTAGGTGATTTAAATTAGGATACTAAGATTATTAGTAACCATGTTTTTCATTAGACCACAACTCATTTGTTATTGTATTTTAAGCACTAGTTTAATAGTAAAAATGACATTCCTTCTCCCAATTATTTTGAAAATCTAACAATTGAACCTGATTACGGGCTATCCTTATTCCCTCCATTCTATCATATCCATTGGTTTACTTGCTTCTCAAAGTAATTGATTTTACCGATTGCAACTGCAGGTGTTTAAATAACATATTTAGTTTTGGGAAACTTTATGAACAAGTTTCGAAAAATATTAAATGATAAGTTTGTGAATGATTGTTATAAAATAAGATGGACGAGAATGATTTGTTGAGCCGTCCAGACACTGAGTATATTTTGTAACACGCCGTAGACTTTTGTTGTAACTTGTATTAATTAGATATTTTCTAATTTTAAATTATTTAATTTTTGAAAGAGGACACCCCTATATAAATTTCCTAGCTCCGCCACTGGATATGGAAAGGGAAAATAACTTTAAGCACTAAATTATTTTATATAACTATTTTACGTGATATCCACTAGAAATAATATTTTTTGGAATGATTAAAATAATTAAAATAAGTAATAAATAGTGATATCTGTTGATTCAATAAAAATAAATTATCTCACAATCTCTTTGTCTCTCCATAGAAATGCAAAAGTAAATGGAGAAAACAAAATAAAAAGTCAATTTGAGTATTTGAGAGCTGTTGAAAGGGATTTAAAACATAGTTATCAAATTATAATATGGTAGCCTGAAAAGTAAAAAAATAAGAAGAAAATAAAGAAAAGATAGATGTAACACCCAACATAAATAAGGTAATTTAAATACTTGAATCAATTAATCTAACTAGCCCCGTTGAACCAATGTACCTTATTAACTCCGAGAGCTTGATTTGAATGTACCATTGTCCAAGTTGACCATAGCCATTGCCTTTTATTTTTATCCTCACAAAACTATTGTTTTCAGAACTTAACTGAAGTATGAGCCGATATAATGGATGGTTCACATTTTAATGGTTTAACCGGTATTAAACCATTAAAAA